CCCCAGTCGCTCCACCCTGGGAGATTCCTGGTCCCTGAGTGAGACTGAGTATCTACCATTTTGGTGGAACATGCATTTGGACTCTGGACCCGTAAAGACTGCCGTGTGCCCTGTGTCCCGGATGTGTGGCCAGAGGTCTGTTCTAACCACGAGGCGCTTGGGGCCCTGGGATCCCCAAGGGCCAGAGACTTCTAGACTCCGTCTCTCCTGTTGCTGCTTGGCCCCCAATCCAGCAACACCTGGTGCCTGGATTGTGCTGGGGATGGGGAACAGCCCCCCCAAATCGGGCCTTCCTCGGGCCCCAGCCCCCATCATGTACCATCTGTGTTGTCAAAGACAGTCGTGTGCTTGACAAAGGCGACGTCCCCCGCATTCTCAGCCAAGCACCTGCCACGCAAGAGGCCAAAGCGGGTGTCAGCAGGAGGGTGGCAGCCCCTGTGCCCGGCCCAGGCCCCTGCCAGGCCCCCCAGAGTACCTGAAGGCGCCGCGGTAGCCGAAGTACCTCTCCTGGCTGTTGCCCACACACTTGTTGCGGCCCTGCTCGTCCCCCACGCAGAGCGCACACAGCGAAGACGGGTAGCGCCCGGGGTTGTTCACGGGCACGCAGCTGGCACTGAAGAACTCGCTCACGGCTGGGGAGCAGGGGGAGGGCGGGGCTCAGGGGCCTGCGCAGAAAAGGCCTCCAGGCGGGAGAGGGGAGGGCTGCTCCCCACAGGTCTGCCCACCCTGCCTGGCCTTATGGCTCAAGCCACCCATCTGCCCCCCCAGCTCAGAGTAGCAAGGCCCCTGTGGGGAGAATGCAGAGGCTGTCTGGATACAGGAATCCCACAGGTAACCTGGTGAGTGGCCACCCAGTCTTCCCTGGAACTCCCTCAGGGATGGGGAACTCACTACCTCATCAGCTAGTCGGTGCCAGTCAGAGCACCTGCCCAGCTGTCTGGGAGTGCAGGCAGCCAACCCCAGCACCCTCTGTGTGCTTGTGGAGGTGACTAGAAACGAGAGCGGTGCCAGCCAGGACAGAGGTGTGTGCCCATCAGCCCAAGGATCGTGCCAGCTGCCTCCTGCCCTCCTCGAATGTGCACGATTTAACACACGGGGGGCCCACAGATGGCACGTGGGGGTGCGTGGTAAGGTGTCTTCTTCAGCACTTACACAGATGGAAGCCACTTGCCAACGCCCCCGGGCTGCTGGGGGTGGGAGCAGGCCCCATGCACACCCCGCTCCCCATGCCCCCTGGAGCCGGTTCCACTCTGGGTGGTAAGTGGGGAGGGGCACCATGGCACCCTCCACAGAACCACCAGATACCCCGACAGTCACCAGAATATTTCCCACCCTCCCCTGTCACGGAGGAAGAGGAAACCTCTCCGGCTGCCTTCTGTGGGTCCTGGGGGGAGAGGGTCCTCGACCCCAGCCAACCCCAAGGAGGCTCTGCGTTCCCGCGGAGGGTGGCACCTGTGAGCACGTCGCAGTCCCTGGGCTGGATGAAGCCCCTCCGCACGAGGGCGCCCACGGGGATGTCCCAGCCGGCGGGGCTGCCGAGGGCCGAGTGGCAGGAGCGCTTGCCCCGCAGCTCGTTCAGGCTGAAGGCGTCGGAGCTGTTCCGCTTCACCACGGCCACCACGAAGTACGAGTTGCTCCTGTCCTCCGCTGGGCGGGCGAAGGGGACACCCGTTAAGCCCCATATCCGTGCCTTCCTGGCCTCAGCTGGGTGAGTGCGGGGCACATCCCCGGGGGCCCTTCTCCCCCCTCCTGCCGCTCTGCACCAGGGGTGCCCAGCCCGGTCACAGGCTCAGCGTGCCCAGGCCTGCGGGCTGGTGGGTGTGCAGGAGCACATCCCAGGGGACCCTCCTGTCCCCCCATCATGGAGAAGCAGCTCAGTTCTTTCTCTCACCCCCTCCCCTGGTCGTCACCAGAGGGATTTCTTTCTTTCCTTACACCCAGGTGGCATTTTCCTCGCCTCCTGGGAGAGAGGCGGAGGCTCAGCCAAGGCTGCAGAAGCATTTTTTCTAAGCCCAGAGACTTTTCACAACCAGGTGGAAGGGACCGGAGGTCGTGGCTGAAGAAGACAGAGCACCAAGGCCTCAGCCCGGGCCCTTCCAAGGGGCGAAGGTGCCATGAGCCGGCAGGGAGGGGGTCGCCTCTGTGAGCCGCATGGTCAGGCTGGACGGGGCCGAGGAGGCCTCTGGTCCAAGGTCGGTAAACGAATCGCCTGTTCTGTACGGCCTGGGTGACAAGCTAAGAACGGCTTTGATATTTTTAAAGGTTTGTTAAAAAACGAAGAAGCGTATGTAGCAGGAGAAGAGTGTGTGGGCTGCAAAGCCTGAAGGGCTGACCCTTCACAGACCTCGCTGACTCAGCCAGACTTTCAGTAACGAATGGGAACACAGGCCTGGGGCCGGAGCGCTTGCCTGTGACAGCCGCCGCCAGCCCAGGACAGGGGCACTGAGGGAGAGCTGGAGCTTTTGAAACAGCCGAGAGGGGAAGTTTCTACACATGTCAATACCAACCACCTCCCAGCCAAAGCCAGCAGCCTGGCCCCTGCACTCACGGGCGTACTGCTCGCCGGCCGCCGGAACCAGGCCGTACGCCTTCCCCGCTGTGTAAATGTCCTCACCCCTCAAGGTCACGGCGTCGATTTGCCCAGCCTGCAGGGGGACACAAGGGGTGGCCAGGATGGGGTGGGCTTCAGGATGGCTCTGGGTGTCGGGATCTGATGGCGGTACCAGGGCCAGGTCTCTTGTGGGCTTTGGCTCAGGCTCCCTTCCCCTGTGACCCCCTCCTGCCCCATCAGCCCCTTCCTCTCCTTGTGAAGATGCGTGGGCAAGAGGGGGCGCCTGGAGGACCAGAGGCCTGGGGCCAACCCCCACCAGCACTCCCGTTCATGGATGTCTTTCATTCTTCCAGCAAATGTTTTCTGAGGGTATTCTGCTGCCAGGAGAGGGTCCCTGGCTGTGAGGGTCTGCTGAGCAGAACCTAGCATGAACCCTGCCCTCTTGCTTGGTATGGGTTATCCCCAAGGAATGCCCGCCCTCAGAGGCCTGGGCAGGGTACTGTATCCCTAGCCCCTGGCCAAGGATGGGTACACAGCACGGGTGTAAGACGTATTTGTGGAATGTGAGTGCAAGTGGACGAATTAGAAGGAAACAGTCTGCGGGCCCGTGAAGGAGGCTACAGGGCTGAGGGCTGAAGCCCTTCCTCACGAGGCAGGTGGACACCTTGAAAAGAGCTCCTCACCATCAGGGCCCACCTACTTGCTCTGAAAAAATAGGAGGGATCTGGCCAGTGTGGCTCAATGGTTGAGCATCGACCTATGAACCAAGAGGTCACGGTTTGATTCCCAGTCAGGACACATGCCTGGGTGGGGTGCACCAGAGGCAGCTGATCAATGATTTTCTCTCATCATTAATGTTTCTATATCTTTCTCCCTCTCCTTTCCTCTCTGAAATCAATAAAAACTACATGTTTAAAAAAAAAAAACAGAAGGGGAGGAGTCCAGGAACCCAGGAGCTGCGGGGACACCTGTGGCCATGGTGGGAATTCACCCCTGACTGCAGGGCCTGGCGCCACCACCGAATCCTAGCCTCTGTCTCCAGTCAGAGCAGCAGGACAGAGCCGAATGGGCCTCTGAGACCAGGACCAGTGCTGCTGACTGTGGGTGGCGGGCATCGTAGTGGATGTCACTACGTCACTGTCATGGGCCATGACAAGCGTTAAAACAACAACAAAAGCCCCCTAGAACAGTTGTCGGCAAACTGAGGCCCGCGAGCCACATGGGGCTCTTTGGCCCCTTGAGTGTGGCTCTTCCACAAAATACCGACTTCTGCGCATGGGCCATGAAGTTTCAATCGCACTGTACATGCGCGCCCGCACATGGTATTTTGTGGAAGAGCCACACTCAAGGGGCCAAAGAGCCGCATGTGGCTCGCAAGCCGCAGTTTGCCGACCACGGCCCTAGAAGGTAATGGAACAGGAACTATCAGCATAATTGTACTTAGTAAGGGAAGTACTGGTTTATTTCATATCACGCTATATAAAGAATTTTTAACTTATATATCTGAGTTTTGTGTACTAGACTGTGACCTATGTAAAATGTATTTCTGAGTATAGGTCGCTGTCAAAATGTTTAACCAACAATGATCCAAGCCCACCCCCATTGTGCACAAGGGGACACAGACGCAGAAGGGAGAAGGGCTTGCCCAAGGCCGCAGGGTCAGCGAGGGCCGAGCTGGGCTGGTCTCACACTCCTATTCCCGGCCACCGACCGCTCAGTGAGGAGGAGTCCCTGTGATCCCCGAGGGAAACAGCCCCCCTCTGCCTGCCCCCTGGGGTGCGGCGGTGGGTCCCTGTGGGTCCTTCCTCCTCCCCTTTCCCTGTGGAGTTGTCACAGGAGACCTCCTCCTCCCCAGGCAGCTCTGTGGGGCAGGGGGAGGGCAGGTAAGGACCACCCCAGGCACTGCCGCCACTCGCCCACAGGTCCCGTCCTGCCCCTCTGGTCACGGCCCCCACCTGGATCCGTTCCATGCAGTGCTGGGGGGACTCGGCCGACACGCACTGGATCTCCGGCCTGAGCCTCTGCCGGCTGAAGGCCACAGCCATGTCCCCACACTTCTGGATCTCAGGAGTGGACAGCACACACCAGTGCAGGTAGCGGGGCAGCCCTGTGTGAGTGTGAGCGCGTGGTCACCGCATGCTCGCCTGCTGCAGGGGCCGCCCTGAGCATGGCCCGTGGGGTCGGGGCCGTGGGGCTAGTACCTCAGCAAGAAGAGCTTGGAGTCAGACCCCAGGGAAATGCTGGCTTTTCCTCGTTAGCAGTAAGGGGTAAGGTTTTTAACCGTCTGATCCTGTGTCTACATACAGAATCAGGATAATGACCTCTTTCTTGGGGCTGCGAGGAAGCTTGGGGCAGACCATGGCTACCAAGGATCTAACTCTGTGGCACACCATTTCCCTGGTTGTAGGTGAAGGAGGCATGGGGCTGGGCTGGAGCAGGAAGCCCATGTGTAGACTACTGCAGTAGTCCAGGCTCTCGAGACAACGCCTGAGCCAGGGCCGTGGCCATGGTGGAGAGGAGGAGGAGTGAGGCATGGAGGGAGAAGGACAGGATTTGATGACTTCAGAGCTGAGGGGTAAGGAACCTTTCCCAAGACGGACCCTGATGGCCTGGATCCCACCCCTGAGAGGTGGGGCTTCCAGGGAGCCCACCACCCATGCAACTCTAGAGACACTTCCTCCCCAAACCCCAGAGGCAGGGCAGTGGAAGCAACAGGTTCCCTCCCTCCCCCTGACCCGACCCCGGGGTGGTGTCCTCCCTGGCCACCCCTACAGGAAGCCCTGCCATTCTTGCAGTCAGGCTGGGCTGGAACGGGAGGGGAAGAGACGGCTGGACTTACGGTTGGAGTCACAGAGGAGACCCTTCATGGCACGCAGGTACTCAGGGCCCAGCCATGCCTCGTAGGTCTGTGTGGCGATGGGCACCAGCTCAGAGGTGGCGTCTTTGAATAGCAGGTTCTTCTGGCCATAGGCCTCAGAGCTGAACATCTGGAAACTACTGTTCTCATGGCTGAACAGACGCTGTGTGTCAAGGGGGGCTGGTGAGGTGCTGCAGGGGTGCATCCCTTCCTCCCAGATCAGCCACCACCTCCTTCTTCCTGTGCCTTCAGGGCAGGAGCTCACTCTGAGGACGGGGTGAGGTGCCACCTGCCCCCTTCTTCTGTGCTCCCCAGTGTGTTCTGCCTTGTCACACTCAGCTGACTAGACATAGGACTCAGGGCCCAGCTGTGGGATGGTACCAAGGACCAGCAATAGGTGTGGCAGTGGTGGCATGAACAGGGCAAAACTAAAGCTGGTGGGCCCAGCAGTCAGTAACTTGTCGCTCTTGTAAGCAGTGGTTTAGCAAAACATTAGTCACCATATTTAATTAATGGTGTACTTGGACATTTATTGGTTTTGTCATTTTGTTTGTTTGCTCCTATGTTCCGGTTTTGCTTTTCAGAGTTAGCTAGCACAGTCAGTGCCTCCTACACTGACCTGGCCTGAGGTTGGACACCACAGAGGCCTGGGTCCCCAGCTGGGGTGTGTCCCAGGGGAGGGCCTCTGGGGCCTGCCCCTCCAGCTCTGGCCGGCCCAGCTTCAGGGTGGCTCTAGCCTTGAGCTCCCACCCTGGTGAGAAACAAGTCCAGCACCTCTCAGGAAGCTGAGTGGGATGCCATGAACTCACCTGGCCTTCGTTGAGCAGCCGGAAGATGAGGCCTCCATCTGTGTCAGCCCGGACGACCACGGCATGAGCGGGCACCTGGGCCAGGTGACAGTGTCTCCATTCAGTGACGTCGGCCCGGCTGCCATCCAGGCACAGCAGTTGAAAGTCCTGTGACAGCAGCGCCTGGCCCCAGGAGGGCAGGGTTTTTCCTGGGAAATTGGGAAGCCTCTGGTGAGCGGCGGGGAGGATGGTGGTGTGTGTCTCTTAGGAGGGCCTCAGGGATAGCCCATGAGAGGGAGCCTGGGGAGAAGTTAGGGTGTCATGGGCCACAGCCCTAAGGTGAAAAGAAACTCTTTCAGGGGGTTAGAACCCAGAACTTCAGCAGGGGGTAAGAACCAGAATCACACCAGGAAGTAAGAAACCTAGAACTTTACCTGGAGCTAAGAACCCAGAACTCGACCAGGAGGTGAGACTAGTACTTCACCAGGAGATGAGAGCAAACTCTGAATGGAGAGAAACTTGGTGGCTGTACAAGACCAGGTGTCTTTTTAAAAAAATATATATTTTATTGATTTTTTACAGAGAGGAAGAGAGAGGGATAGAGAGTTAGAAACATCGATGAGAGAGAAACATTGATTGGCTGCTTCCTGCACACCCCCTACTGGGGATGTGCCCGCAACCAAGGTATATGCCCTTGACTGGAATCGAACCTGGGACCTTTCAGTCCGCAGGCTGACGCTCTATCCACTGAGCCAAACCAGTTGCAACGGTTCTCAACCTGTGGGTTGCGACCCTTGAAAATACATCCTGCATATCAGATATTTACATTACGATTCATAACAGTAGCAAAATTACAGTTATGAAGTAGCAATGAAAATAATTTTATGGTTGGGGGTCACCACAACATGAGGAAGTGTATTAAAGGGTCACGGCATTAGGAAGGTTGAGAACCACTGGGGCAAGACCAGGTGTCTTGATAGACTGTGTCTACTTCCTTAAATTTTCTACCTCACCAATTTCTACAAAGATGGATTTGAGGTTACAATACAACACGTATTAACAATGCTATTTATTAAGGATAAAGAGAGTAAGAGAAGCGTAAGGTGAGAGAGAAGTGCCAGGAACTCATTGCTGCCATCAGGCACGAAATCGGCTCTGAGCAGAGGGCAGCGGGCAGGGCGCCATATGGAAACAAACTCTGACAGAATCCGTCCAGAACCACATCCCAGAGAGAAAGGGTAACTCTTCGAAGCTCCCCCCACATATTAATCCAATATTAATCCATCTACTTATATTTTGGTATATTTCCTCCACCTCCAAATCCTTTTTCTATTCTAGTTTCTAACCATTTTAAATATGATTAAGGACATACTTGATAGGAAATCTTATATACTACATTTTTTCATTTGTCATTTTAAAGTAATTTTCCACATTGTTGTAAACTTTCCATAAAACTCATTTATAATAGAAATTTACTGGAAAGAGCGAATATTGACACCAAATAGGAAAATTAAGAAGACTAATTTTAAAATGAGGAGGATAAGCATCTACTAGTAAATGGAAGGGAAAAGATTATTTGTGGGATCATGAAAATTCTGTTCACCCCAAAGCTATTTAAAAACAAAAATCCACCATCAAGAGGGTAATAGTTTGGAAAACTCCATAAAGGTCATTTTTAATGACTACATAGTAATTTATAGCACTCTCAACAATAATTATTTAGTGTCATTCTCTCCTGCTCCCCAACTTTTCTCTATTTTTAAACTGTTGCAAAACCCTTGTATAAAATTCTGGGGGATCATTGGCCTTCCTGTAAGACAAATGCATCACGCAGGTATTTTGACCTGCCATTCCTGTTTCTATGCTAGGGGCAATTAAAGTCATATTACTTCACTACTTTAGACATTTGTGTCAGTGCCACTTTTGCTCTTACCAATTGTTTTGCATGAATACCTTTTAAAAAATTACTACCATATGATCCAACAGTCCCTCTTCTGGTATCTACCTGAAAACTTTTAAAACATCTGTTTGTAAAGATACATGTACCCCTATGCTCACCGCAGCATTATTCACAGTAGCTAAGACATGGGAACAACTGAAGTCCTTCAATAGATGATTGTTTAAAGAAGAGGTGGTACATATATACTATGGAATACTAACCAGCCATAAGAAAAGATGAAATACTGGCATGTGCAACAAGATGGATGAGTCTTGAGAGTATCCTGCTAAGCAAAATAAGTCAGATGGAAAAGGACAAATCCTTTCTTTAATTCTAGTTTCTAACCATTTTAAATATGATTAAGGGCATACTTGATAGGCAATCTTGACTTCACTAATATGTAGAATATAAAATAGAAAGCAACAAGTAAACACAAAAAACAAATAAAAACTCATAGACACAGACAACAGAAAGGTGGTTACCAGAGGAGAAGGGAAGGAGGGGAGAATGAAGAGGGTAAAGGGGTCAAATATATGGTGATGGAAACTAGACTTTGGGTGGTGAGCACCTAATGCAATATACAGGTGATGTAGTACAGAATTGTACACTTGAAAGTTATATCATCTTATTAACCAATGTCACCCCAATCTATATATATAAAAGGCTAATATGCAAAGTGTCCCCTCAGGAGTTCGACCAGGAGACCGGGAGTTTGATCGCTCACTATGACGTGCACTGACCACCAGGGGGTGGCACGGAATGAAGGAAGGCAGCCAGAAGGCCCCGACTGGCCCTGATCGCTGGCCAGGCCTAGGGACCCTACCCATGCATGCATTTCGTGCACTGGGCCTTTAATAGATTTAATAAAAAGATGGGCATTATAGGATTTGCCTTGTCTACCGCACAAAGTTGTAGTAAAACTCTAAATCATTTAAAAAATGACTTTCTTAGATTTCCTTAGAATACCATCGAAATTCTAAAAGAGCCAATTTTAACCAAATACATCCCTCTTCTTTCTCCACCTTTCACATTCTCCTTTGCTTGACTCATCTTGGGGCCCAAATCCCTGCTGCCCGTTTTCCTAGGAACATCTGCTCTGGAGACAAGCCTACGCGCTTCCTCTTACTTTAGAGCACTTTTTTCTTTCTCAAATCTGGCTCCTATTGCTCTCCTTCATGAATGTCAGACTACATGATGGACTTTCTGATTTAAAAGGCAAAGATTAACAGAAAAGCAAATGATTTTAAAAAATGGACAATGCTCTGACATTCTGGAACAGGCAAAACTATAGAGACAAAGGTCTGATTGGTGGTTGCCAGGGTGGGGAGTGGGTGGGTTGACTAGAAGAAACTTGGAGTGAAGGGTCCATCACAATCACCATCTTGATTGTGGTGGTGGTTATACAACTGTTAGTTTTGGGCAAAACTCATAGAACTATACTTCAAAAAGGATGCAATTTTGCTGTATATAAATCATATACCTCAATTAAAAAAATGATCCTTAGGCAAATCCAAATTAAGAGACATTCTATAAAAGAACTGGCTTGACTCTTCAAAAATACCAATGTCACACACACACACACACACACACACACACACAAAACAAACACAAAAAATTCAAGAAACTGTTCAAAGTTAAAGAAAACGGAAAAGACCTAATGACTAAACACCATGTGTGATCTTACATTAGGTCCTGGCCTGAAAAAAATTGCTGCAAGGAACAGAATTGGGACAATTAATGAATCTAAAATATGGATTGTAGATTAGATAATAGTATTGATATTGCTGTAATTAACCTAGTTATGAGTAACTGGAAAGGAGCAAAGGGAAGGCCAAATATATATTTTTATTGAATCTTTTGCTTATTTTTATTTCTTAAATTAAATCTTTACTGTTGAAAATATTACATATGTCCCCCTCTGTCCCCCATTGACCCCGTTTAGCCCACCCTGTTCCCCACCCCAGGCCTTCACCACTCTATTGTCTGTGTCCGTGGATTGTGCATCTATGCATAGAGTGCTTTGGTTGATCTCTTCCCACCCACTCACCCTCACCAGGAGGCCAAATACTATGGGCATGCCACTTGTGCAGCTTCGCCAGGAAGCTGCAGTCTAGATGCATGCCCAGTAAAGTCTGGGTGGAATAGGGGAGGTACTTGTCTGTCAGTCACACCTGGGAACAGGTCATTGGTCAGAGTAGGTGTGGCCCCTGTAAGTGCAGCATGATAAGGCGGGCAAAATCATTTGGTCTGGCCTTGCCAAGCTATTAGGGGTGAGTTAATTAAATGTTTGACCAAATATAGCAGGCTAATTTTAAGTTGATAATTTTGTATGGCCTAAGAATGATGTTATAAATATCCAAATGGCCCTTGGCAGAAAAAAAGACACCTCACTGGGACAGCCCCACTGCTTCTTTCCCATTTGTTCTAAAATCTCCCCAGTACTCTCTCTGCACCCTACCTCACAATCACAGCTGGGACCCCTCAGTCCGCAGGCCGACGCTCTATCCACTGAGTCAAACCGGTTACGGCTAAAAAATATTTTTTAAATTGATTTCAGAGAGGAAGGGAGAGGGAGAGAGAAGCATCAATGATAAAAATTATGGATCAGCTGCCTCCTGCATGCCTCCTACTGGGGATTGAGCCCACAACCCGGGCATGTGCCCTTGACTGGAATCGAACCCTGGACCCTTCAGTCCGCAGGCTGATGCTATATTCACTGAGCCAAACCAGCCAGGTAGCAGGCTAATTTTTAAGTTGATAATTTTGTGTGGCCCTTGAATAATGTTATAGTATCCAGATGGCTACTGGCAGAAAAAAGGTTGCCCACCCTTGTGAAAGGAATCAGCTCTTTCAGTTCACGTGCACACTTGCTCTTAGTTGACTCCTGGCTTGCGGGGCCCTCATGCTTCTGCATTTGCCCACATGGCCCACAGCCATGTGGGCCCCACACACAGTAGACTAGGGGACTGCACCGCTTAATGCTACACCACACCCAGCGCCACCATGGAACGGACACTCCGGACACTGGCCTTGCTCCTAGCTCTGCTGAAGGCCCAGCTGCACATCTTCCAGGACTGGGTCAAGGGAAATGGGACTCTGGGAATCCAGAGATGTAATCCCACTGAAATGAAAATCACCCATCCTCCTGTGCAAACCTCAGCAAACTCTTTTAGTCAAGATATAGTAAGGACCCCACTCCCCCTCGCAGCAAAGAAAGACCATCCACGCATTTCTTGGGTAATAGTACTGTGCCGATGTTACATTTCCTGAGTTTGATAACTGTGCTGTGGCGAGGGCCACATCTCCCGGGTCTGAGGAGGTACGATCTGAAGTATGGAGGGGGTATGACAGGCAAACATGCTGTCAAATGGTTCAGAAAGAACACAAACATATGGAAAGAACAATGCGTCAGCATGACAAATGGAGGGGAGTTCTTTGAATTACTCTTGCAATTTTTCTAAAGTTCAGTTATTTCAAAATTTTTTTAAAATTTAAATGGCAACGATGTATTGGATCAACACTCAACTCCTCGTCCAGGGGTAAAGGGCTGGCTTCTTCAGATAAGAGGAAGATGCCAGGAAGATGAGAGTTAGTGCAGAGGTTTGCAAACCTTTTTTGGAAAAGCAGAACCCAATCTTCAAGTGGAAACAGAACCTAATGCCATCTGCAAACCAGGGCAGGTCAGAGCTGCTCGCCCGGCCCCCTCGCCCGCAGAGCAGTTTGAGCTCCATTGCTGAGACCACCTCTGCCTCTGCCCACTCCTGGGCAGCCGCCCTCCCACTCACCGTCCGTGTTCTCCAGCACCGTGCTGTGCTTCACAAAGGCCACGTCCCCGGCCCCTTCCGCCAGGCACCTGCCGAGGAGAACGCTGTGAGCCTGGCGGGCACCGAGCTCCCGGAGCCCTCGGCCTGCCCAGCCTCCACCTCTGGAGGCCTGGCCTGGACGTGGGGTGGCCACAGTGGGCCTGGGCGGCCAGCTCTCTGTGTGGCTTTGCCACGTGTGGAGCCTTCCTAGCCTCATCACCTGTGAAGTGAGGGTGAAAAGGTGGCTCCTATGGGGGGAGATCCTGTGTGACCTGTATAGATCCTGCACATCCGGGGCCTCAAAGGAGCGGAGCTCCTGTGGCAGCTGCTACCGGTGGCAGCAGCTGCCTTCCTGTGCAGGTTTGGAGATGACTCTGCCCTAAGGCAGGGGATGGACTACCAGGGGTCCTCAAACTTTTTAAACAGGGGGCCAGTTCACTGTCCCTCAGACAGTTGGAGGGCCGGACTATAGTTTAAAAAAAAAAACTATGAACAAATTCCTATGCACACTGCACATATCTTATTTTGAAGTAAAAAAACAAAACGGGAACAAATACAATATTTGTATTTGCATGTGGCCTGCGGGCCGTAGTTTGAGGACCCCTGGACTAGACCTTCTCACGCCATAACAAAAACTCCGAGTGCAAGGGACCAGGACTGTTCTGCATCCTCTGTATGTCGCAGCCCAGGCAGGGAGGCGGGGCAGTGGGCTGCCTGGTCCAGGGGGAGCACACAGGACAGTGGGTGGGCGAGCCTCTGGCTTGGAGGACAGAGGACTGTTTTTCTCTCTGTGCTAAACACCACATTGACCCAGATCCCGGCCTGGAGCGTTCCCCTCCCCTCCCTCGCCGCCCAAGGTTCGAGGGGCTCGATGGGCTTCCATGCCAGTCCCCGCGGAGCACGGTTCCTTTTTTAAGGACAGACAGATGTGCACCACAGCTGGTAGGCTGTCTTCTGGATCCACACAGGCTCCTCTAAAATGCCAGCCTGAACGCGAGATCCCTGGCAAGCTCCCCGCCCCCATCGCCTTCCCTGCAGCTCTGAGGCATGGGCCCAGGGGAGTGGCAAAAGGTTGTTTTGTCATTTTCTTCTCTCTGAGCCCTCACCTCTCTAAATATAGCAAACATGTTGATTTATGAGCAATTCCAGCCTGGCGTGTTCCGGTGTGTTGTTTTTAAGTCAGCCAGGGCACATGAACTACATAAAGGGCGCTTTGATGTGATGCAGCGACATGGCCGCTCCCCCCGGCCCTCCCTGCCTGAGTGTTTTCCCAGCTCTCACGGCCCCCAGGCCTCACCCCTGACTCAGCTCGCCGCCCCCCTGAGCGCCAGCCCCGCCCAGGCCCCTCACTCACCGGAAGGCCCCGCTGTAGTCGTAGTACCTCTCCAGGGGGCTCTTGTCACACACGCCCTCCCCAGCCGCGTTGCCCCGGCAGAGGCGGCAGAGGGACTTGGAGTAACTGGTCTCTCCTGCCCCCGGGACACAGCTGCCCCCAAAATACTCGCTGACAGCTGCAGGAGGAGAAGAGGGCGGTCAGGGTCAGCCAGCTGTGCAGCGGGACCCTCGCCCTGTCCCCGAGGGCCCTGTCCCCAGGGCCGGCACAGGCCACTCAGGCTGGAGTGGAGGGCTGGCTCCCCAGGGACAGAGCTGGACCCTTCAGACTTCAGTTTGAGCAAAACTGGGGAGCTGGATCCCATCGGTGATTCCCAAACTGGGGCCACAAAAGTGTGGGCATTGGGGAGGGGCTGTTGTTCTTCAAAAAATGGCTCAGGAAAGAAACCACTTACCCCCAAAGGCCGCACGGGACAACTAAGTGTCAACTAGATACTGTTCTCATTGAGGCTTTCACATCAACATCAGTATGGCTCATCAGCGAAAGCAGGGAAAGACAGCAAGTATTACTTAAGGAGTATCATTAGTTTGATAGACAGTGCTTCTCAGAACAGGGAGGGGGGAATGGAGGAGAGGGAGGCGTTGTGGGCAAAGAGCCAGCCCGGAGGCCCATGCCCACCCTCTTGACAAATATTTGTCCTGTGCTGAGGACAGCGCCGTGAGGGGAGCAGGGAGCCAGTCACAGGGTGCTCATCACCAGACAGACGCACCTTTTCCAGGGCGGGCCCTTCTGGGTGTCTTGCTGCATCCTCCCAGGGGAGGAGCATGTACTAACTGTGCCCAGTGACTGATCAACCACCCACACCAGCGCCGTCTGAGAGAACATGGCTTCCGGGCTTTTGTGGGTTGTGCTGGTTTACCCCGTGGTGGGGGCAGTATGGGGAGCCGTGTACACATGGGTACATGTGTGTGCACTGTGGGTTTGTGCATGTGTGTACATGATGCATGTGTGTGCACAACAGTGAGGTGCCCACCGAGAGGTGTGGAAGTTGAACTCATAACAACGACAGTTCCATGAGGTGCCCTATACCCCGCCCCATGCATCGTGCGAAGACTGTGTGAATCATCTCAGTCCTCCCAACCCCACAGAGCTCTCCTCGCCTCATCCCTGCTGTTCCCCTCGCAGGGCAGCCTCCCTCCAGGAGCTGTCGTTAATTTCCAATTTCACACGATGAGGAAACTGAAGTTCAAGGAGCTAGAGTAACCCCCTGAGGGCAGACCATCTATCTGACAGCAAACTCAGGGCTTTAAAAGACCATTGTTTCTCCTGCAAAATCCCGCATCCTGCACCCACCCCCAGAAGCACTGGTCAGCGAACCAGGAGGCAGCACACTGTGGACAAGGGATTTGGGGACACCACAAACTCTACTGGGGTGGGGGTGATCCCAGGAGGACAGTTTGAGAATGTGGTGGTCACGTGTCAGGGGCCACCTCAGCTCTGTATTGTGTCCACTGTGGAGAGAGTGACAGTCAGGTGGCCAGGAAAAGAAGCCCACGGCACGAGAAGCAGGCTCCCGCTCTTAGCCGGACCTCAGGCCTCCACTGACACCCCCAGGCACTGCATTCTCAGCCACCCCATTCAGCTCACCCTCAGCTCCCTTCTGCAGAACTTCCTGTCTGCACGACAGCCCTATTCCCTGTCAAATGGACCAGTCAGGGAGCAGCACGTCTCTGACTCGGTACATGTGAACTTTCTGGGTACAAATCAGCAGCTTGTTTGGGTCCTGAAGAAAGAGAGTTTCTAGCCCTGACCGGTTTGGCTCAGTGGATAGAGCGTCGGCCTGCAGACTCAAGGGTCCCAGGTTCGATTCCGGTCAAGGGCATGTACCTGGGTTGCGGGCACATCCCCAGTAGGGAGTGTGCAAGGGGCAGCTGATCGATGTTTCTCTCTCATCGGTGTTTCTGACTCTCTATCCCTCTCCCTTCCTCTCTGTAAAAAATCAATAAAATATATTTTAAAAAGTTTCTTAATTCTATGGAGGACACGTTTCTGGAAATAGCGACCTACACCAGGTCTGCACCAGGTGAGAGCTGCTCTCTGGTGAGTCACCAGGTCCCAATGGGTGAGTGCGAGCTGAGTGCTCTGGGGGGCCTCCCCAGAAACTAAAACAGCGGCAACAGTTGGCGGCCCAGCATGAAGACAGGAGGGGCTGAAACACCCACCAGGTGTCTGGAGGTCCCTGGAGAGGTGGGACTGTGCAGCTCCCTAAAGGAGATGCAAGATGAAGGCGAGCCTGGAGGGAGGCTGCCCTGCGAGGGGACCAGCAGGGATGAGGCGCGGAGAGCGGAACCCAGAGGCCCCGGAGAAGCGGCTGCCGTGGAAGCCCTCACCTCTGAGCACGTCGCAGCCCATCACCGAGAGGCTGCCGCTCTCCACCAGGTAGCCCACGGGCACGTTCCAGCCCACCGTCCTGTTGATGCCCGTGTGGCAGGACTTCACGCCCTTCAGGGTGGTGATGGTCAGGTTGGAGCTCCTCTTGACCACGGCTACCGCATAGTAGGAGGTACCAACCTCTGGACAGAAGAGAGGGGAGGAGTGAGGGCAGCAAGGGAGAAGCCACGAGAGAGGCCGGGGCCCTGCCCGAGAAGGCTGTGGGGAGGGTGTGTGTGTGCCACGCAAACTTGCACGTGAATGCGTGTGTGTGTGGATGTACACGCGTATGTGTGCTTGGGGTTCTCATTACTGAGAGAGCCAGTGAGTGCAAGCCATGTGTCTTATTACAGACCCCGCCCTCCTCCACCCTCACGTGGTAGATATTATTTCATTAGTTAATTTTCACCTTTCCTTCCTGAGTCAGCTGGCACATAGCTAGGTCTATGTCTATGTCAGGGGAGCTCTGCAGCTGGACCAATAGCAGGAGTGGCCTGCGAGTTTTGTTTTCCAAAAGTGAAGCCCTTCGGAGAACTTAGGAGGATTGAGGGAATGGTATTGTGGTTATGGGAAAAGTGTGGTTGAGAGGAGCAGGGCAGTGGCTTCCCCAGGTTAGAAAAAGTGATTTCCTAGTGCTGAGGGGAAAGGAGAGATAGATAGATAGATAGATAGATAGATAGATAGATAGATAGATAGATAGAAAGAAAGAATAGATAGGTGATAGACAATAGATGGGTAGATAGATGATAGATAGATAATAGATAGGTAGATAGATAGATAGGTAGATAGGTAGGTAGATAGATAATAGATAGGTAGATAGATAGATAGGTAGATAGGTAGATAGATAGATGATAGATAGATTATAGATAGGTAGATAGATAGGTAGATAGATAGGTAGATAGATAGATAGGTAGGTAGATTGATAGGTAGATAGGTAGATAGAACAATGTGGTCTCACATCACTCAAGATCCTGACCAGGGTGCATGTGGGTGGGCAGGAGTCTGTATCCTGGCAAAAGATTCCCCTGGGCCAAATATGGCGGAGAAGGTGCCATTCACACAAGAGAGGAAGAACTCATCTCTGGGATGGATGACCAGAGGACACCTTATAGGTTAGCACGAATGTGCACACACTTGACTGCCGCGTGTGGTGGGTGCCCGGGATCCGAATGAAGCTGAATTCTAGAAAACAAGCCAGTGTTGTTTCTTGCACACCTGCACCTGGCCCCTGGCAACCAAAGTGGCCTCGTCGGGTCCCACCCTCTGACTTGCCCCCTGTGCCTTTCTCTTTAGTTCCTTGAGCTCACCAGCTCTTTCCCACCCGGGACTCTGGTCCGGGCTCCACTTACCGTCACCTCCCCAGATAAGCCCTCACGCCTTATTTTCTCCCTCATGGCCTTTGCTTTTTCACGCACGCACCACATCTGTAACTACATTTTTTTGGTGTTTATTTGTTTGCTATCTGACTCCTGCTCTTTGGGGGCAGAAACTGGCTCTCTTTTGCTTACTACTCTGTGCTCATGACTGGCATGTAGTAGGTGCTTAGTAAATGTGCTGAATTAAAGAGGAAGAGCTGTTTCTGGCCGATGAGTGAAAGGCTGGCAGGTTTGCAGGGCTGCACTGTGTCCTGAGTCATCAAGTAGCCAAGTAACCAAGAGGGACCCTGTGCTGGGCACCGAAGATGAGGACCAGGGCCTCCTCAGGGGACTCGCTGTGGTGACAAGGCAAACAAGACCGAAGGGGCCACGACCTGAGCAGAGTGAGTCAGCGCTCTGGGAAGCAGGAGACAGAGGCCCTTTGCAGGGGCGGGAAGACCCAGGGGAGCTCCTTGGAAATGACAACCGAGCTGGGCTGTGACGGAGGCTAGGCCTTGGACCAGTGGACGTGGTGGGAGAGGTGAAGGGCAGGCTGAGCCTGAGGTGTGTCTGGTCTGAGGTGCAGGGTCGGGGGCAAAGGGACTCACATTTCCGACCACACATGCTCCCACATGGGCTCAGTGAGTCTGTGTGACAGGGCAGGGACCACTGTCCCCATTTTATAGTCAAGGAAGTGGAGGTTGCCCGAGGTCACAGGAGGTCACAGGAAGGGGCAGAGCTGGGAGTCATGTGGGCTCTGCAGCTCCCGGTCACCACCTCTTGCCTGGCCCCACCCCCACTCCTGCAGCTTCTGACAGATGCCACTCAAATGTGAGGCAGCTGAGCTCTACTGACGCCTCGACCACCCCAGGCGATCACGCCCCAACACTATGCCAGGCTCGGGCAGCCCCTCAGTAAGAGCTGTGGGTGCGAGTTAGGGGGCTGCTGGGATCCCTGTGAGGAAGAACAGATGCGGGTCAGCCCTCTCATCTCTGGCATCCCCCTCGCAGAGATTTAGGGGCCTCTGAAGGTTTGTGTGGCCAGGATCCCAGGGCTGCTCTGAGGACAGGGTGACTGACCAGCGCCAGGGAGTCAGGGCAGGGCCAGGCCCAGCGAGGACACTTCCTCTCTCCCCCCACCTCCTCCCACTGGGCCCTCTGACCTTGATCATACACTTCACCCACCACGGGCTTCAGGCCATGCTCCTTCCCCGCCTCATAAATGGCTCCTCCGTCCAGAGTGATGGCATCTGCCTCCCCAGCCTGCTGGGACACGTGAGTCAGCATACCCACCCCTGCTCCCCAGCCTTCCCCATCCCTGCTCCCCAGCCTTCCTCACCCCTGCTCCCCAGCCTTCCCCAGCCCTGCTCCCCAGCCTTCCTCACTCCTGCTCCCCAGCCTTCCCCGCCCCTGCTCCCCAGCCTTCCCCACC